TTATATTTATCAGCAAACATTATCGTTTTGCAACCGAAATATCGTGCGCAATAGTCGACGCGCATTTGCAACAAAATAAGCCACTGTACAAAACCCGGCAGCGCCACTTTCAAAGGCAACAGGAATTTGTTTTCCTAACTTGTCTGTTGGAAAGCATTAAAGTGATTGACAGTCGATCGGACGTTGTACTTATGGGGGACTTTAATGAGTCCCGTATTCAACGGAGCGATATACATACGAAGTGTTCGAAGTATGTCATCGATTACCGTCTCCTAAAGACAATACTAGAAGCTCTTCTCACACAGTATGTTCTATTCCCAACTAGAGCGCGTGGAGGGCAACAAGCTAATTGTTTGGATCTTGTCATCGCTGATCACCCTGACAGTACAGATGAGGTGTACTGCCTGTCTTCGATCGGTGTAAGTGATCATGCAGTGCTTCGATGGTATTCCAAACTATATTCTGCACTGTAAGCAAAAAACAATACGAGGCCAAATATATGACAAGGGGAATTCTGCCAAATGAGAGCTGCGACGTCACAAATAGAGTGAAATGTTCTTCGAAACTGTCAGGGAGGACTGGGATTGATTTATGGATCGGCAGTTGCATATAATGAAGAGCCACGGTCTCTCATCAAAACTGTGGACATCCAGTCGACCTCAGTGATTAACGCGAAACCTCAAAAAGGATATCAACAAGAATCGAACTCAAATCTATAATACGCAGCAATAATATCCAAACGGGATGCTCTTCCGAGAAGCAGAAGCTCAGAAAGGTCTCGGAATTTGGATTGCGGACACTCTAATGCCTTCTAAGTAATGTCGTATGGCAGCTAAAACCGAAACTTCAGTGCTGTACGCCATCAGAGGGCATTCACAGTCTTTGATGAAGAATGATTCTCAAAGTCTTTGGCACGTTCGTAAAGCCGCAGCTTAAATACGCAGTTCGGGCTGGAGACCATGGACACAGCGGGATTGCAATTTGATCGAAAGGTTGCAGAGGCGAGTTATAAAATTTGTATGATTTCGAGGTACCTTCTTGCCAATACACCTGTGCAGAAATCCAATCTGCGCGTATGTAGACGACTCTCGAAGGGCAAAGTTTCCCACCGTCGAGCCGCTCGGATGGCTTAACCGCCAAAATGATTGCTGATAGAAGCGAACAGGCGAGTTCCAGGCAGCAGTTCAGACGACGAAGATGTAATCACTGGAACAAGAAATTTACTGGCCTGACGTTTCGGATTCTCACCCTAACCCATCACCATCTGCGACTGTCTCTGATGATGGGTTCGAGTAAGAATCCAGAACGTCAGACCAATAAATTTCTTGTTCCAATGATCACTTTTTCGTTTTCTCATATCGAAGTGCATAGCCTTACGTGAACCACCTGAATAAGCTTACTGACTCTCCTCTGAACTATAGGCCTTTGCGCGGAGACTTGATACAAACTTCCGTCATCGTCCGTGACCTGGACTGCGCCCTCCAATGTGACAACTTTTCCAACTCGCCACTACAAATAACCTCGGAGACATCCCTTCAAACTACGCGTTCCCCAGGGAAGATTGGAAGTGTATTGGAAAGTATTATTTCTCCAGTCGTGTCGTGGAACCGTAGAACCTGCCTGAGGCGATGGTAATGTCCCAATCTGTGCAGGCACTTAGGCATCGGCTTGACAGACAAGCAACAAGCGCACTATTGATTTTGTAACCATAAAAAACCAGTGTCCTATGTGAATCGATGTCTGCATCCACTTTTTGCTGGAATTTCATCATGTCATCGTTAATTTTTTGGATTTTCAAGTACAATTAGGGATTTCGAATGCGTAAGCCTATTTCCCTCAGATACACCGAATACTGAATACTGAACTGATAAACCAGCCTAGAGCCTACTCACAAGGAAATTTTTGATCTCTTGAGGATGTTATTTTTTATACCTATTTTTGAGTTTGTGAAATCGTCTCTGGTATGACGTGGTATCGGAGGCCTTGCAAAAGTCATTGAAGGCGATGTTGGCCGCGTGCTCGTCCTAGAGAATTTGGGTTCAGCTGTGGAAAAATTACAACGGAATTCCCATGCAGGATTTTCCTATCTGTAACCCTTGTCGCAGTTTTGTAGAAGGTTGTAAGCATCTAGGAATAACACCGATTCTTTCTTAGTGATCCCCTTCACAGCGGTTCCATGAATGCACGTCGGGCTTATGGGTCCGCAACTTATCGTTGACACCCGGCTGTCGCTTTTTTACGAAGAATATTATACGTCAGCTTCTGGCTGATTGAAAGTGTTCTGACAAAATAAATCTTGAAGAAGAATTAGCAGAGGTACGGAAAGTTCACTGGCAAGTTCACTGAGAAGCTTTTATGGAATCTCTCCTGGCCTCGGAACTTGAGGTCTTCCAGTGCCGTTAATTTTCCTTGTATAAAATTCTCTGATAGGAGGATATTACTGATGCTTGGAGTCGGCAGATCTTCCGCGAATGGAGGAATAAATCTAATCTAGTTTTTTTGTACCGATCGAAAAAAACTGCGAAAAGTTTTCAACCTTATGCCTGGTTTGGGCATAAGTGGTGTTCTCAGCAGTTTTTACTAAAGGGATTTCACGCCTGTTAATTGTACTTCGTCTGAAGTAGTTCTAAGGTAAATTGAGCTCTTGCGTTTCTGTTTTGCAGGAAATCATTCCAAATTACCGGTGTGTTTACGACCACTTTTTGACTTTTTTCTCCGTATTGTATAATGGTTGAAATATTCGACCTGCTTGGCGGTACGGCATTTTCTCCATAATTTTTTCTTCTTACTACCTTATTTCTTTGGCTTGTTAGTTTGCCATCGACGCCTCTTGTTTTGCCATACGTATGTCAGTGAGCAGTAGTTTTGATTATTTACGGAGGGACTTTCTTGAGCAACTCTGAATCATTTTTTAAACGCCGAAAAACCTGACGAAGGTTTCGAATTTTGAAGAATTAACCTGAGCACTTCAGAAGCCCCTGCAATCTGTCATGCATAATATCCGGCGAGGTCACCAACAGTCTTCCTCAGATGGGAGCCATTGCGGACCCCATCCTCCTGCTCTTACTGCAAGAAAGTATTAGGGCCACTCGCAGGATGCCTAACGGCAAAAGACCAGGTGAAGACTCACACGCAGATGAAATCTACGGGCACGGCGGCGCACGACCCATGGACAAAATTATTGCCCTGTCCCAGGATGTGAGGAGGCAAATGCCAATCGCAAAGATTTCGATGGTTAAACCATCACCCACATTCACAAGCGCAGGATGAACCAGTAAACCTGTGATGACCTTCCTTAACATAACAGATAAAATCCTTGTCTGTGTCCTGCTAACTCCTCCAAACATGCATCAGGTGCAATAGCTTTTCTCCGAAAGCCCATGTGAATTTCTAAGGATCCGCTGAATTATTGACATGATCTCAGATGCACGTCCGGGGAGCATCTTCAACAAAATGACTTGCAATGGATCCTGGAATGGCATCTTTAAATACGGATGCCCGGAGCATTTTACGCAGAATTTAATACAATTTCGGGTCAAAATAATGACTGCAGTCACGAACAGTGGGACAGTCTCGAAGGAGGTAACGCTGAAAAATAAACAAAACGAGGCTTTCAAATCACATATTGGCCTTGTCGGTTACTTGTAAATCAGTCACGCTAAGACCTACGAGCCAATGTAACAGGCGTCAAAATATTCGTTTTGCTTCCGTCCCACTTGCCCACGGGAATCGCACGTGCCTATTCGGCCCGATGTGTATCTAAGAGAATTCTGAATAAAACATCCTAGTCCCTATCCCACAACAATGTTTCGGCCCATCTTCACACATATCCAGACAAGACAAGAGCCTGGCATACAGTACTTTTGTACAGAACACCTCTCTGCATCATTCCATGCATTACTCCTGCAGTAGACATGAGCTCCAATTTGCCATCTCCCGTATGACGGACTAAACATCACACGTCAGATCATGCAAATCTCACTTTACTTGGAATTATGCCCTTTAATAAAAATTGAAGATTTCTCTAGTAAAATCTGTTCGGATTCCTGATACTGTCGTCGTTCCAGTTTGAGTGAAAACCGACAAGAAAAAGCCGAAAATGACTAATACTCTCCTCTGACCATGTGTTAGCAATTCACATTTTTTTGAAATCCAGGACGAAACTGGACTGCCATTATTTAGTTACCTGCGTAATCTTATATAATCTCAGGCTTTTCCAGGCTGTTTTACAGTATGCTTAATTCATAATTCTTCGAAGTTCACCAACACAGAGCTTACAGTTATTATGTTACCGTTTTACTCCAGCAAATGTTCGTTACTCCCAGATTTCCGAGAAAACCCTTCAGAACCTAAATCTTATTTTAAAAGCACCCAAAGCTTTCGGCTTGTTTACATCTGAGGATGATAGTTTCCTTAGTGTAAATGGAAAATCTAGGTCGATACTTCCTTTCACCAAAGGGTTGAATGTTCTCCAGTATTCGTTATCTGAGTCACGCTCTCAAAGCTGCCGCTGACATTTTCGTTCGTGTACTGGGAAGTCTCCATTCCACATGCCTGTGTCCCATTTTCAAGGTACGGTCAACGGATGGGTATTCGAAGCGTGTTTCAGCACACTCTCTAGGTCTCATCAGTTAGCAATCTTGTTGATTCTGCACACATTGCCCATCTTAAGCAGATGTACCCAAACGACCCAAAAGAGTCTAAGCATGCGCATACAAATTTGGAGCGTCAAAGTCTCCAACGATAGGGACACCCTTGTTCGAGCAGAATTTACTGTGTTCTGTCAGGTGAAGGACATCATATTCAGCAGTCAAATGGCCAAGTAAACGTCACGAAAACGCATTTCAGAATTTCGGTTGACATTTCATGAGTTAGCCCACCTGCTGTAGATTACGTTTCAATCGAAGGCATATGAAACTTCGGAAGTTCGCATATTGCCCAGAGCGGGACCCTTTTCGGTAGGCGCTTCTTCAAACGCAGCCTGCAGCTTAGAAGGACGTCTAAGAGACGCAGAGAGCCTGCCGTGTAAACCTTATCAACGAGTGTGTTTGGTTTACGGCATCCAAGAGGGTAGTCACGTTTGTTTCTCTGGTGGCAATTTCAAAGATGTCGTCAACGTAGCGACCATAGGGCCTGGGCTTATTGATTTGGTCGTTTGACTGAAACTTCTCCAGCTTGCCTATGAAGACATCAGCTAGGATAAGACCAAGAGACTGGCCCATAGCAACTCTGTCTATTTGTCTATATGTTTGTCTATTACGCTTTACTCACTACAGAACGTGGCATATCTCAGGAACCCGATAATGAAAACCGATGACAGAATTTCTGGACGCATTAGACGTTGCGCATTTTGCTTACTCATTCAGCCCCTTCAAGGAAATGTCCCCTTCTTGTGCAAAATTGTGTTCATGTTTCGTATTTAAGTGCTAGTCAGCCGATTATTCAGAATATTTGAAGAAGGCGAACGAAATACGTTGGAAGGATCTTGGTACAAACATTTTTTATTTCCAAACCAACCGCGTCTCAAACACGTTTAGGTTTGAACGAATTGCCACCGCAGAAGAGGACATAAATGCTGTAAAGTAGAACCAATGGGCGGAGAAATTCGAAGAACGATTGGCAGAAAAGGCATTTAAAGTCCCTATACCTGAACATTCTCTCTGCTCTGCCTTTTTATTTTTATGAGATTTTGGCCACTGCCAACATCATAAAGCATTTGTCAGTCATCATGCTTGCCTGGACGACACCACGCATATTATTGCAAACAGAGATTCAACACCTGTTCATGTAGAATATAGCTGTCTTTTTGCTAGGATATGAAAGCAGGGACCCACCCTGTAATATGAGTGGCACCGTGTTAAGTTAGGGTTAGGTTTCCGACACGGGAATCGATAACTTTCCTATAGTTTTGTGCAAGCCCTGCCAGCACCAGCCCAACCCCGCCCAATCCGGTCAGGTAAGGCCACTGTGTGGCAATGGTAAGATTGGGTCACGTTTTGACAGGGAACCAAACAGAATGCAGAGGGTTTTTGGTCGGGAAGAGAAACCCAAACAAGGAATTTATACTGGGATTTTGTAATCTACAGCAGCAATAACACAACAGATATTCGTGTTACTTATTAGCTTGTCATACAGTCAGTTTTATGTATCGTGGTCTTAATGTAGTTTATTTTCGCGGTTAAATACACAATTTGAAACGTTGAATTGCTTCTGAATTAATCCAGGATGAGGTTAGTCCAATGCCACACCTACAGTGAGTGAGCGGTCTCATGAAATTTTGGCCAAAATTCTGAAATGCGTTTTCGATTTGGAAGGATTACTTAGGTGCGACTGTAATACTGATTATTGTGGGGCATAATCCTACAGTATTTCGGACTCGCCAGGATGTCGGCTCTTGAATGCCTGTCCTTTCGCCATTCTGCATAAACCACACTCAGTAAAAATTGACTACTTAAGTAGCATGCATTCTTCACATCGATTTTCGACGGTCTTATAAAGTCAAATATAGTTCGTAGAAAACATGCAAAAATGCGCTTTCTGTTACTCATAGGGTAGGAAATCACATTGCCTTTACATTTTGTACCCGAAGAAAGCGTACATTTAGGTTTTGAAAAAGTTTTCACAATTTCCGAAAATTTTTGAGCCAGATCAGAGGGTTCATAAGCGTTTGGCGATTTCAGTCTACAGAGTGTATATTCTCCGCGTGGGGGTAATCATATATTCCTCTATGCCTTAAAAAAGATACCATATAGACAGAATGCCATTACTGACAAAGACAAGGGAGACTGGAATGGCCATTTCTGGCTTATTAGCCGTCGTCAGCCAGTCATGCCCAACCCCAAAGTGTGATACACCCGAGGCTCGAACTTGCGACCTGTCGGTTAGAAGTCCACGCCTCTAACCACTGGGCCGCGAGCCCGTTGAGCTGTCGGTTTCGATCGGGAATAAACATAGAGTTCGTATAATTTTGCAATGGATGCGACAATGGTGTACATTTCATGGGGAGCATTGATAAACGGAAATGTACGATGCAGTAGGAATGGACATCGCATGGTCTTAAAAATCACATAATTAGAAACTTTTTAAAACCAAAAATGACCTTCCTTAGGGTATAAAATGTAAAAATAACATGATTTTCTACCGACCGAGTAGAAGAAAGCGCATTTTTGCAAGTTTTATATATAATATATTTGAATTTATGTGGCCATCGAATATCGATGCGAAAAATGCATGATACTTAGGTAGTCAATTTTTATTGAAGCTTTTTATTCCCGTGTCCTGCCGTCGTTTACAAATGGCAGCAGCATTTGCCACTTAACTGGGGGATAGTTGCGGTGTTGGGGAAGATACTACTGATAGTACAAATGGCACAATGTCTCGCACAATTTAGGCTGTAGCGTTTGTTTAAATCAGCGACAATATTGGACCATTCCGTTCGTGCGAACTCTGCTGCGCACATTTTGATGGTCAGGAGGTAATATACGCAAGAGCGGTTGAAGAATTTGCCTTGTCAGCCCATCGATGGCATAACTAAAGCCTTGCTTTCGGATATTTGCTACAGCCTTCAGTACAAACAGATTAACTGCGGAATTTCTACCGGTCGCACGAAGAGAAGTACAAGGTCTCGAAAAGTCTAATTGTTAAATCTGAACGATTCCCCTGGCATCCGTCAGTCGAGTCACTTCGCCTCTGACCATGGCTTACTACCAACCGGTCCTTTTCAACAGACTCTAGTCTGAGAACCTCACACCAGTGAGACGAAACATTTTTACGGAGCCAGGAATGTCCTATTCCTGGAATTGTCGACGTCATCCATCTCTTCCGAATTCGAAAGTCTAACAGGCGATCCGTTGTTGGAGAAGCGGATATTGGATCAGTTGCAGGTCATATGGCAGGATTGTGACTCTTGAAAAAGTCGAGCCTGGTTTGTGTTCGTTCCCTCTGACCCTGAATATTTTACAAGGTGGGGACGCATACTGAGAGAGGCGAGGGCATTCGTGAATTGCAGTATATGACCTAACTCATGAAATGTCGAGAACAGTGTTTGAGTTGAGGGGACGGCACATATTTGCTTGGGTTCTTTTTGTTTCTAGAATTGATTAGAATCCCAAAAAGCCCTTTTCTAAAGAATAATTTATACTAGTTCAGTATTTTGAGGGGAAACGGACCAAATTTAGGCAACTTTTGACATCTCCGGATATCAACTTAATTTCCTATTCTGATAAGTATCCCCTATTAAAACGTCTAATTTGCACGCGTTGCGTTATAAATAAACTTTCATATAACAAAGAAAAATATCACAGGAGGCCACTCTGGAAACGGAAATTGAGATTTTTAGTTCATGAAAATCAGGTCGAGTCCAGAAAATTTATTAGTCAACAAATACTACTTTATAAACCAAAATATACCTTGTTTTGAAGCTCGGTCATATATTTGACGCAATATACCTTTCGTGGATGCGGGGTGGCAGTATCGTGCGCTACGGCGATTTAAGTTCACAGTTCGTGATAGGCGATCCGTTTCCCGGAAAAATACGTGGGAGGGCCAATATCTACGTTTCCTGAGTTTTGTGCCAATATAAGGGGAACGCAATCTCGTCTACACTCTCCTGATGGGACGCAGAATTTTCTTGCTTCAAAGCTGTCCTGACTAAACGTGACTATTCAGCACCGTACTCTCAACGGATATCAACCTATTGCGGCTGAAATTGACGAGACGTTCAATTATAAAAATGCACCTTATTGCATCCTTACCCAGTAATAATCGAATATGTATGCACAGACGTCACCGTTATAACATTTCTATTTATTTGATTTTGGTAGGCACGTTATGCTGGTATTCGTTCGTGGTGAGCCGCTTAGGGTCAGAATTAAAATTTAGGGTTGACGTTTGAAATATGCAATCAGGGTAAGGATTTAGGGCTAGGCCTAGGGTTGAGATTAGAGTTTGGGTCGAGTTTAAGTTTAAAGTTGCGCCTATATTTGAGTTGGATACAGGGTTAGGTTTAAGGGAAAGACATGGTTATGTAGCCACACACGATGTACACAATACTGTTAGGGTTAGGGGTTAGGCCTAGGGTTACAAGTTAGAACAACTATCTCTCACCCACTCAAACTACAACCGCGCATTCCCAATAGCATTTCTTTCGAATACAATTGCTTGACCTCGTCGCCTGTTCGTTCCCCGACCTCACGTGATAAAAGCCCTATTACCACCGGTCCCATATTACAGGTGGCTGAGGATTGTTTAGCTCAGGTGCGGCTACATAACCATATCTGACCGCTTTAAGGTTGGGGTTAAGGGGTAAAGTTTAGGGTTGGGGCTACGTTTGTTCGCCGTATACCGTCTTACCTAGTCTGACTCTCTCGAACCAATGACTTTTGCTTACCTGTTCTGTGTCAGTTAACATATCTCCAATTCGCACCTTTTAAATTGAGTCGGCATATGACGTAAATGCGAGTTTTCTCAATGCCATCCACAGATTTCGTCGATTGTAACATTCATGTGCTCCACTGATGATATTCATGTTAACACCCCTGTAAGGTCGATGCCATCTCAACGACGGTTACTTCGCGCTACTGAAAGGACTCGCAATGCAGCCTAACTCATATTCAGCAAACCTACCAAGACTATTCCAATTCAAAGAAAGAACGAAGGACGCCTTGCCACTGCACGCCAGCTCGAATTGTATCTATGAATTCACAGACACTTGTGGGTGAATGTACTTTGGGCAGACCAAGGGGCGGCTGGCAGCTAGGCGCTTGCCCAAATGACTTTTAATTTTGGAATGAAAACTCCCTCATTCATCATTCATTAAACACCTACTTCATAATGACCATTCTGTTAACCACCCCTCTCAACAACAGCATTTCGAGTACTTGTTCGGGCACCTGAAAGTCAGACACTGTGCTAATGGGAAGCAGCTCCCAGATGGAGAGAGAAACATGACTTGTACAAACAACTAGGCCATGTGGTCAACCTTGGTTTGCCCTCGAGATGACGGCGTGCGTTAAAATAATTTAGAAATTAAGGTGCGTATGTGACCAATTGCATTCATCAAAGGGTGCAATGTGTGTGTGTATTTTAGTAGACTGCAGCATATTGCCAAAATCTTGGAGATTTTCAGTCCTTTGAGGTTTTTAAAAAAGTCAGAATTATGACCAAAAGCACATGTTTATTAAATTGGTAACAATCAAACCACACCGACAGTAGATAACTTGGGAAAGTATCCGCTCGCAACTACGCGCTGTGGTAGACGCTTACTCTAAAAGGGAAATATCATTTTGTATGAACAATTTAAGGACTTTTTGGATAGTATTCCGTCCGCTAGCTGTATGAAAAATTCCAGCCAGGGCGCTCAAAATTCACATGAAAAATTACCATCTTTTACTTAGCGCTCAACTCGGAATATGTGACGCACCAAAAGCATATGTGGGCTGCATATTTTTATAGAGTAGGCTAGGCAGGAAACTGGAATGGTAACTCTCTCCGCCACTCGCCCTCCACATAATAAAGGTAGCCTTGGGCCGAATTTCACGGCGACTAGCGTTAAGGTTAAAACAGAGTTGGAGCAAGAACAAGGAAAAAGGTCCCCTTCCTGAAACTTAGGGCAGTTCCACCCGTATTACGCGGAGGTTGATATGACTGTGTCTCACCCAAATCTATAACATTGTAGTAAACTGACAAACACGTGAAAACGCGTTCATACAGAGTCGACAACCTAAACCTATTTGCTTGTTGCATTTCTCATTTGAAGTGGCAGAGACCGTGATGTCTGCGTATTTCGAATTAAGGCGTGGGACTCATGATGTTTCTACCTGAATAACCGAATTCAGTCCTATTGGCTGTGGGTTGAATATGGAGAGATATCTTCGGCGAAAGTATTTCACACTGGTAAAACAAATGGCTTTTAAACCTGCAAGACAATTTTGAGTGGCCTGTAGCACAGCAACCTTTATACTTTTGGTGGATAAATCTGACATCGAGACGACAGGGAAATTTTAAAACCTAACTTTTAGTGCATTTTCTCCGGTCAGAGCAGCGGGTATTTTTGAGAAAGTTTATACTACATATTTAGTATTATTACCTGGCATGCAATTTTTGAAGCAGTCCTTCAGGGCGTTGAAGGTTTTTTTGGCGTCTGGCGGACTGAAGTATAGGCCCTTCTGACAGTTGCCGTCTTCGTCACAGAAGGATGTTGAGTGCTTCTTGCTGTTTTCCACTTTAATAAAAAGACAACAACTTAGCGACAACAGAGCAGGGGAAAAAGTTGGAATGTTTCGTGGCGGCAGCTGACTGCCAACTTACGTTTTGCCCAGCCGTCGCATTTGAATGCGCACATGTTGAGAGCATCGAACGTCCCGTTTACTCTCTTCATCACCTCACACTGATTCTTTGCGCCGGAGCAGAGCTTGATGGGACTTTGGGAGTTGTGTTGAACTAAAAAGGGAACGAGTACACGCATAGGCAGTGCGACAGTTGGTTTCATAGGAGAAGTTCAGCAAAACACCTCGTTCACAGATTGGACGAGTAGGGAAGTGTAGGGCTGACAAAGCAATTTACCTGTAGCGACAAAGTAACACATTTTGACACACTTGACGTGTCTGTCGAAGGTAGTGTCGAAGTCATCTCGACCGAAAATTTCGTATGCGCTGCAGTTTTTGCTGCCCCTTTCGCAGTGGTACGCTGTCCACTGCTTATTTGATTCTCCTGAAGAAAGAGAAAATGTCTGATGTTCACGGCATGCGCTATGACGAGCAGAGCTCTGCAAACAAACGAAACTCTTGCGGACAGAAATGGCATGCAGTAGGTGCAGGCAGGTTAAAAAGCCACCAACCTCTTGGTTTTCCGCAGGCCTCGCGACAGAGACGACCCTCGCTTTGGTCACCAACTCGATAGCTCACAGTCCGACATTCGGTGCGTTCACCCTTGCATATTTTGTAGGTTGGTGGTCTGTCTTCACAAGCTAAAAGTAAAGTCTATCAGTATGCAAGTTAAATCGGGGTCTGTGTTGGCCGCCTTGTGAATGTTCATTAAGCGGAAGGGCAGTTTTTCCCGCAAACGGATCGGTCATTCGTTAAACTAGCTCCCACTAGTTTCGTAAAGGCAAAGTCAAAGCATCATCAGCAAGATATGGTTATGTAGCCCCACCTAATGGACGTCGGGTCGGTGTTAGGGGTTATGGTTAGGGGTTGGCATTAGGGCAAATATTTCTCAACCACTCAAATTACGACCGTGCATTCCTAATAGCTTTTGGTTTGCCCACAACTATTTGACCTCGCCGCCTGTGCGTTTTCCGACTCCACCTATAAAAAGCCCTATTAACCTCGGTCCCGTATTACAGGTGGCTGCGGTTTGTCTACTAAGCCTCACTGGGAGGCCTGAGTTCAATCAAATATGGGCCAAGTCACCCGCCCAGCCATGCGCAAATTATGAAATCCACTGAATCTGATATAGCGAGCTGACTGCCCAAACACAAACAGATGACTACCAGGGTCAAGCATCGTTAAGTATTCTATGCAGGGAGAAAACTTGCCGGACATGACGGCCAGGAAGACCAAAACGGCCTGAAGCAGGGTCGAAGAAGGAAGTTTCATCATGATTGTTCGCGTTGACCGGGCCTTGTTATGCCTACACAATTCTACACCATTTATATACTCCGGTCGCGGAATTTGCTGGTAGTTCATTGGATGAATCCGACAGTAAAATGTCAGTCGGTTCTTTCCGCCAGTGTACTCCCTGGCCTGGTTAAGAACATCTAAATAATGCTAGTTATTGCAGTGGCATGCATGAGGCGAAATAATCCACGTGTCCGTCCTCTGTGAATCCATACGTACGTTGTGCTGAGGGAACGATTTTCGTCTGGAACTCTGCTTCGAACTTATACACGGGTTCCGCAAATGCGCTCAAGAGCAAGACCAGTAATCCCATTAGCGTGTTGTTCCTCTGTTTTAATCCGCCTCCGAAATGTCTGAGGCGTAGACATGGAAACGGCAGAGTGAAGGAGCCCGTTTAACTGTCGGTGGACTGTACGTGGATAATGGTAATGTGGGTTTCACGGGTGGGGCAGCATGCCAGACAGTAAGCTGACGGAGTGCAAGGAAACACAGAAATTGTTTGGATTTCTGCCGAAAGTCTCGTTGTACGCCTTCGCATAGCAACGGAGATGACCGCGTTAATTAAAAAACGAACAAAAAATAAAGTCCAAAAAATAACAGGGTTCAAGCAGTGGTTGGAGTTCATGGGACGTAATTGTTGTTGGCAGTGTAATGTCTGCAATGGCCTACAAATGGATGCCAATATAAAGCCCCCTATGACACAATCCACAGTCTACTGACAGTTAAGTGTGGTTCTTCACCCCACCGTTGCCATAGTCATGCACATTATGGCAGAGGTGTCACTGGACACTCTAGGAATGTTGCAAGGTTGGACTCAGCCATGTCGCACAAACTCGTTCTACCGCCGACCGACAAGCTAATAGCTAGCGTTTCCGAATAGAATAAAATCCCTCCCCCCGGGGGGACCGGTTAAGTTTGGGTCGTAGGCACTGTCGCGGACGGGAACCCATGTTGCATCTCTGCGGGGCGATCAGATTCGTCACTGTGTTTGGCTGACCTCACGTTCAGTACTCTGCCACAGACAGTCGACATGCAACGGTAACATAGGTGACACCATGTGGGTCGGCCACATAAAGCACTACGGTGTTGCTAAAAGGAATCGCTGGACTGACGGTTAGACTGCGTTCTGGCGTAAACACAGTACTGGCAAGTGACTTAAATATTTTTGGCATTCACTCAGAACCAATGTTCGAATTGAAGCGAAGTAGATGATTTGATGGTGCAAGCGTTATCCTGGCTAAACTTTCGCCGAAATGAGCTTTCTTTCTATCCTCTCTACATGCTGCATTCATCCCGAATTGCATCTAGCTAGTACTATCCGATTTGGTCATTTTTAATTTCTTGTTCTCAGACTAGCAAAGTCGTACTCCCTGGATTTGTACTTTTTGCCTGAGGAATGGTCCCGCCGAGACAACAGTGTCATATTTACGGCGTATCGGGCAGTCTGGCCTGCTCTCTGTTGGCAAAGCGTTTGGTGCACATGATCGAACAAAAGTGCAGATGGCTTGATTTAAATTGATTTTTCCTATCCCACCGCTCTGGCTGTTTGGAGCCTCAACTGTCTGCGTTGTCAAATAGAGTGTTGGAATTTAGATGAATGGATCCCCTGCCTACTTGTCAATTTACCTCACTGTCCAACTGTCTTTGGTCAATTTTCAATTTTGCTGCGGTCTGCTCGTTTCGTCTTGTGTGTGGGATGATTTGACAGACTTTCGAGTCAACTTCTTGGTTACCACGGAATTTTCTAAAGTTAGACCGTCAGTTGCTTAAAAAAGACATTTTGGGCCAATCTTTGGTGTCTTGAGAAATGTACTGTGTTAGCCAAACATCGCCCATATTGAGTGGAATATCAACGCATTTCAAAGTATTCTGATGACGTCCAGATCCCCAGTGTTCGTTATTGTGTTCCCGTGGGAATGACTTACCCCTTGCCGGAGGGACTTCGATTACCAATGAGGACCATTTTGGGAATTCGACCTTCACGGAAGACGATGTCTAAATTATGCCCCACAGAGAGTTGGACGCAGGACGGACACTTGTGCGGAAATTAGTTATTAGTGATAAAAGAATTGCGCAGCATTTGCTGCACTTTCTCATCCCTCACCCATTCCTGGATCCGGTAGTAAGACGGCGTCAGGTTTACAGGGGGGGAGGCAGGTTCGCGTGCGGTGTGGCTGACAGAGCCAAACAACCCGTCAACGCGGGTCACCCACAACCTGATTCACACACACACACACACACACACACACGACAGTTCGACCGTCGATTTCGACGATGTCCACCGTGTGCCCCACAGCTGCAGCAGCGGTGGGAGCAGGGACGGTGACTTGCGCAGGGGTTTATAGTGCCGGTAGACTTGCGCT